GACCAACCTCATCTCCTTCTATGGCCGGGGGACTCACCTGGTGGATGAGGGAAAGGCTGTTGGTGTAGTCTACCTAGACTTCTGCAAGGCCTTTGACATGGTCTCCCCCAGTATTCTCCCTGAGAAGCTGACAGCCCGTGGCTTAGACAGGTACACTCTTTGCTGGGTTAAAAATTGGCTGGAACACCAGGCCCAGAGAGTGGTGGTAAATGGAGTGAAATCCAGCTGGCAACTGGTCACTGAGGGACATTGAGGCCCTGGAATGTGCCCAGAGAAGGGCTACGAAGCTGGTGAAGGGCCTGGAATACAAGTCCTGTGAGGAGCAACTGAGAAAACTGTGATTGTTTAGTCTGGAGAAGAGGAGGCTCATGGGAGACCTTATTGCTCTCTCCAGGTACCTGAAGGAAATGTGTTGGGAGCTGGGGCTTGGCCTCTTCTCACAGGTAACTAGTGGGACTAGAGGGAATGGCCTCAAATTGCACCAGGAGAGATTCAGATTGGAAATGAGGAGAGACTCAGAAAGAGCAGTCAGGCATTGGAATGGGTTGCCCAGGGAGGTAGTGGAGTCAGCATTCTTGGGGGTACTTAAGGAAAGATTAGACGTGGTGCCTGGGGACATGGTTTAGCAGGTGATATTGGTGGTAAGGGGACAGTTGGACCAGATGATCTTGAAAGTCTTTCCAACTATGATTCTGTGATTCTGTGACCAAGAGAAGCCAGTTGATGTAATCTTTTTGCATTTCAGCAGTTTTCAATACTGTTTCTCACAGAATCCTGGATAAAATGTCCAGCATACAGCTAGACAAATACATAATGCAGTGGGTGAACAATTGGATGATGGGTTGGACTCACAGGGTTCTGGTAAATGGGGTTACCTCGTGCCAGTGGACAGTCACCAGTAGGGTTCCACGGGGCTCCATTTTGGGTCCAGTTCTCTTCAATGTTTTTATGACCGACTTGGATGCAGGACTTGAAAGTATGCTGAGTGAGTTTGCATATGATACTAAGTTGGGAGGAGCTGTTGACTCCCTTGAGGGTGCAGAGGCCTTTCAGAGAGATCATGACAAATGAGAGGACTGGGCGATCACCAACAATGTGCAGTTTAACAAGAGCAAGTGCCCGATTCTGCACCTGGAATGTGGCAACTCATGTCATGTGTACAGAGCAAGGGATGGGATGTTGGAGAGCATCCCCATGAAAAGGGATCTGTTTTGGTTAACAGCAAGTTGAATGTGAGCCAGTATTGTGCCGTGGCAGCCAGGAGGGCCAACCATACCCTGGGGTGATCAAACACAGCATTGCTAGCCAGTCAAGGGAAGGGATTGTCCTGCTCTACTCTGTGCTGGTGTGGCCTCACCTCCAGCCTCACTGTGTGCAGTTTGGAGCACCACAATATAAGAAGGGCATAAAACTATTAGAAGGTGTCCAAAGGAGGGCTATGGAGAAGGTGAAGGGTCTGAAGGACAAGATGTATGAGGAGAGGCTGAGGCCCCTTGGTTTGTTCATCCCAGAGCAGAGCAGGCTGAGGGGAGGCCTCATGGCGGCCTGCAGCTCCCTCACGAGGGGAGCGGGAGCGGAGGGGCAGGTGCTGAGCTCTGCTCTCTGGAGACAGCGACATGACCCAAGGGAATGGCATGGAGCTGTTATGAGGGGAAGGTCTTGCTTAATAAACTTTATTTCTTTTTATCTCAAGGTCATCCATCTGGTTGATCACCATCCATCTGGTTTCAGGTCAACAGGGGAGGGTCAGGCTGGGAGTGAGGGGAAGGTTCTGCACCCAGAGGGTGGTCGGGCACCCCAGGGCAGTGGTCACAGCACCGAGTTGCTGGAGGTCAAGAAGCATTTGGACAACGCTCTCAGACATATAGTCTGATTTTTTGGTGGTCCTATGTGGAGCCAGGAGTGGGAATCAGTGATCCTTCCAGGTCCCTTCCAACTTGCGTTATTCTGTGATTCTATGATTAACTTCTGAAGCTCACACTGCATCCTTTGCAGCAAAGGCAGCTGAGGTGTGGGAGGGTGAGGAGAATGAGAATTGCCCTGTACTATAAGGAGAGTTGGGGCCTGTCCTCCCTGTAGTTTCAACGTTGACATCACTGGCATTGCTACCAGCATTAACCTGTTTGATTATTACGAGAACTATTTGCACTAGCACAGTGCAGGTGTGGATGTAATTAGAGTGTGCCAAGACCACTGCAGTTAGTGGAATTATTTTTGCCGAGAAGCAGAGATAGCTAACCTTGAGTATCTACAATTGCAGCCCATGCTGATGTGGCTGGACTGTTCCCAGCCTTTACAGGGTCAGGATCAGAACCTTTGTTGAGAGATCCCCAGTGAGACTCTGAAACGCGGACAGCAACAGCCTCCATAAGAATCATAAGAGAGCCAGGTTCTGCTTAACACAGAGTGGTGCTGTCAAGGTTGGTCTGCAGGCTGAGAGGCTTGCATATCCTTATGCACAAAATCATTTTTATCAAGATTGCAAGAATTTCCATTAAGACCATGGTACACACTGGGTTTCTGTGAGTGCAATCATGTAGGTGGCTGCCACGCAGCATGGTTTGTGTTCCTCTTACTAAAACCCTTAATGAGAACAATTACTAGTTTGAGGCATGCAGAGACTGGAAATTACAAGGAAGGGTGAACAAGGTTTGTGCTGCTATCACAAAGACACCCTGAGGAATGTTAAAGCAGGCTTATTCTAATAATTACTGTGAGCATGTATTTGTACTGCAGCTGAGCAACGCGTGGTTTCTTACAGTCAGTGATCTAGATCCACTTTCAAGATGGCACTGTGGGAGGAAGATGGGAAAATGTATGTGTTTTTCTGTGAATTTCTGTCACAAGCAGAGTTGCATAGACAAAATCCTTAAGGTCAGTAAAATCTTTTGTTCAGGTATATGTTTTTTCAGGAAGTGTTCTTTGGCTTTGCTATGCAAATAAGGTTTTTATTGGATAATCTGATTCACTTTTTGACTTACCTTTGAACACTTGTCAGTCTCTTGAACAAAAGATTTCTGTGACTTTATCTAACAAATCATGTATGGACAAAGGGTTGTGCAACTGAGTTTTATTTGAAATATCAGTAAAATGTAAACAACCCATTTTTACAACCAAGCCTATTTGGAGATGAAATGGCAGGGCAAACTGAGTTTAAAATAAAACACTATTTAAAGGAACATGACTGCCTATTAAAGACTGAATTAATAACAACACAGTAGGAAAAATTAAAAAGTATTTCAGGGTATGTGACTGAGTGTGTAGACAGGAAGCGCAACGGTCTCAAGGCCGAATTACATATCAGAACCAGATTCAGAACAAATAAAGGACACCAAAAGAAGGTACTTATGCCTCAAGGAAGACTAATATGTCAAAGGTATCAACATATGCAGAAGTAAAAAAAAAAATCTGTGCCTGCCTGTACTCTCTCAGCTCACCTTTAAACCTGCAATTCTTTGAGCTACAGCAGGCGCATATCAAAGACAAAGGCAACATGCTGCCATCTTAGACGTGCAGCCTCATGTATTCCCTCAGTGTTCAGCAATGTCGTGAAGATGAGGTGGATTTTCAGCTGCTCTGGGTAGCTGTTTCACAGAATCACAGAATGATTGAGGTTGTAAGGTGCCTCTAGAGGTTGTGTGGTCCAGTACCCCAGCTCAAGGCCATCTAGAACAGGTTGTTTTGAAGATCTCCAAGGAGGGAGACTTGATTGGTTTTGTGGTCCCAGTCATTTTACTGAGATCCTAAGTTTCTGATGTCCTGAGTTTTCAAACAGCCCAGCCGCTGCAAAATACATAACACCACACCTGCATCTGTTACTGTCCAGTGAGTGCAACTTTCCAGGATTGCATAAATCTAAAGATACCGATTTTTTTATTATATTTTTTTTTTTACAGTAGAGTGCTTAAGCTCAGTTTTATGGGCTGGTGCATATATATGCCTGTGCTTCAGTTGTAATGAATCAGTGTGTGAAATAAAATGCTTTACTGGTACTAGACACATGTCTTACAATGTATTTAAGCATATGAACAGATGTTTTGCAGAAGCTAAACCTTTATGTTGTGCATTCACCTGCAAAATCATAGGTAATCGTAACCTTTCCTTTTTATTATTATTATTTTTTTAAGACTGATTCTGGCCAGTGACAAGTAAAATCTGTGTCTGTTAATAGTTCCAATGGTCAATTACACTTTTGTTTTGAAAAATCTGTACTGTATTTTGTTTGAACTTGTTAACTTCTGTCTTCTGAACATTGGATCTTGTTTATTGACTTAGGGAGTCCTTTGTTTTCTCATATACATTTCTAGTGATCACCAGTTTATATTTTCATGATATCAGAAAGATTTCTTTATATTTACCAACCCGGTTAGGGAGACATCTTTTATACCCCAGTGTCCCAGCATTAGGGGTCTCACATAATAAAGATATGCTGTTTTTAAAAAGACTGAATATGACTGTAGTGCTTCTTATTTCAGTTATTAATCACTTGTATATGACAAAATATAATTATGACAGGGATACTAGTACTAGGAAAGAAAGAGTATTGAGGATATGCTGTACTTATACTATAAAAATCATGGTTGTTTTGTGTCCCCAAATATAATATTTTCAGTATTTCCTTGAACATGTCAAATGTACTTTGCATGTGTCTTGAGTCCTCTGTTACTTCTTTTTCCATAAAAAATTCCCATGGAGTCATATGGCCGTATGATATTGAAAAGGTGTCCGGTCCATTGCTGTGCCCCTAGGTAAGATCAGTAATCACTGTGAGCCTGTATAACTTTGCATTTATTCTTTTCTACTGAGAAGTTGAATACAATCAACATAATATTTCCACAGAGAATAAAAAGTAGGGTTCCCAAAAAGCCTGAGCAGTAACCCTTGTCCTTTCTCACGTGCTTTGCTTAGAAACAAAGTAAGATCAATGGGAGTCACTGCTAGTAAATCCTATATTTCTCTCACTGCTTTATGAGTAATTATTGTTCCTGTTTTCTCCTTAGGGCTCTCCCCGCAATGATGCAGTGGGTCCGAACTCAGAAACCAGGAGAAAGTGGTGTGAATATTATCACTGCAGATTTTGTAGAACTCGGTGACTTTATCAGCACAGTCATAAAGCTCAACTATGCCCTGGATGAAGGTGAAGATGACACTACCTGATAGTGTTCTAATATGTTTGTTGTTGCATTATTTAAAATTGAAAAGAAAAAGAAAAAAAAAAAAAAAAGATTGCATTTTAAAAGAATTATCTTGTAAAACGCTGATCTTCCTATAACACCCTCTGAGGTGTTTAGGGCTTTAGTGGGTGGGCATAAGGGAAGTGTTTTAATCAATTATGATCATTTTTTACATTTGTGTTTCATGTGAAGAGCAAAGCTAACCATGTTTACAGTGTTTGATAAAAGAAGGCCATTTACATGTTTTCCATGAGGTACCAAATGTGATTCATGTGTCTTCTGTGGTTATGAACAGTGCCAAGAAATGTGCTTTCAGTGCAGTGGGATGTGTGTTTCCCTTTGTCTGCCCACAGCAGGATTCCCGAAGGTGTGAACAATACACCAGAGGACTAAGGACAGTATATCTGTCCCTAAAATTTTAAGCCGCTACACTTCATCTGTTAGGTGATTTAATGGATTCTATTTATCAGTGAGCTACAGATTTAAATGCCTTTGTGAAGTAAATACAAAGTCATGTCTCCAACGCACTCATAGTTAGTGGACAGTAAACATGATGCATTATGTAGCTTGCACAAAGCACAGATTAAATCTTGCTTGCTTTTCATTCTTGAAATGGGGTTTTCCAGTGTTTTTGCCCTAAGTCAGCAGTTACATAGTGCTGGCCTAACTCTGTACTAGGCGCTGCCAGTGTGTATTTTCCATGGCTTTAGCAGAAGCAAAGTTAGGCCAGCGTGGAGCACCGCTCCTTCCCAGGACTAATCTCATGTAGAAGTCTGATACAACATCCACTGAATTTAATAGGGAGATTTCCTGTGTTTATTGTGGAATGTGCATGGGATCAGTAAACTGTGTGTACTATAAGGTGGGCAGGGTTTTGTCCCATAGCCGAAATAGGCTTTCTGTAGGTTTAAATCTACTCTTAGAAAATGTAGGTGCAGTCTGAGCTTCTCTTTAGGGCAGCTGTAAACACAACGCTCCTCTGCTGATTACAAAAAACAAAATCAGTGCCAGTTTCATCAGTGAAAAACTGCTGTACTAAAGAGTGTAGTAGTTCAGTATCTGGCTAAAAACATTATGCTATAGTCCCTACATTGTTTGCAGGAAATAATACAGCATAACACAAAATTGAAAGTCTACTGAATGGCACTGTTCTAGTAGCAGAACCTCTATCACCCTACTTTTAATGAAGCATATAAAACTCAATTATATGGAACATTCAGTGAATTATAGAATAAAAGAAGAGCATTGCAAGTGTATGACACCAAATTGGATACCATCAATCGTATGTCCTAGATCCATCAATGCATATGCACACAACTTTGGAAAGCAAAACATTTTGTTTGTGCAAACCAATAGATGCTTTACAAGGAAAATTCTCTTTGAAATGTTGCTTTATAGGATAAGACTAATGTCAAGTTTCCATTGATAATACCAGAACTTTCCATTGAGTAAGAAGAGAGAATGGCTTCATAGGGTCTTTTGTTATTTTCTGTCAGATGGTAAGGGCTGCAATGTACCATCAGATTTTTTTATTTTTTTTAAATGGTCTCATCAAACAAGTGGGTTATGGGGTGTTTGTTGGTTGGTTATGTTTATGTTTTTATTTTTATTTTTGGTTTTGTTTTAATTTATTTTTAAAAAGTGGAATAAAATGAACACTTGCTGCTATTTTGTACTGAGAGGGTGCCTTGGAAAAAGTGTGTGTGTGTGTATTGTAGAGAAACATTTAAGTGCATCTGTACTATAAAGACACGTTTTAAATGTATGTATATGATACAAAGACATCCATGCACACTTGCACAGTGGTGATCTGGCTTCTGGACAGGAGTGTTACAAATTTGCCTGAAGAAATCTGCAGGTGTTATGAAGTTATGATGCCTCCTTCTGTAGCAGATTTTTCTGTATGGATTATGACTGTAAAACTCATCCTTAGTAAAATCTGTGATCTAAGCCAGTTAGTACTTCTATAGCATTAAAATTTAACCCAAACTGATCCAAAAATTTACCAAGAGCCACAGCCCGTCTTTGCATTGAACAAGGAAGGGGTAGGACTTGGTGCTTTCACCCATGACTAAGCATGATACGGGGGTGGGTAGATGCACTTTGTTTTCAATCTTCACAGGCTTGCCAAACAAAATTAATGTAATGGACACATAAAATGAAACGTGCATGTGTTCTTGAACCCTGTGCAATCTGAAATCTTGTGGATTTTGCACAGTTTGTGAATCAGTACCTTTTCTTCTATGTGGGATGAAAATGTTAGCTAATTTATTGGAGATGTGATGTGAAACGCTCTTTTCATTCTTCTGTTTCACTGGATTATTTGCTTCCAGATTCTTTCTGTTATTCTTTAGCTACTTAAAGTATAGTTGAAGCATTTAAACTATCCTTTTAATATGTTAAAATAATCTGAATCTTTAGGTGGAACAAAAAAGAATAGGTTTCATCTTTTGGATACTGACTCAAATTCTATTAGATTGAGAGCACCAACACTGAGTTCCTCCTGGGACCCCTGGCTCAAACATGCCAGACACACCAGGCTTTTTGCTTACACAAAGGTGTACTCAAAGCAAATGTTCTGCTTATTGAAGAAAAAGTGTGTGTATGTGTGTGTGCGTGCCTGTATATATGAATAAATATAGAGCTATATCACATCTTGAGCTTACTAGCATTGTTATGAAATATTTGCTTAGCATCAGTTGTATTCTAATTGTCATTTGGGTGCTGGAAAATAAAAGCAAAGCAAAAAAAAAAAAAAAAACAAAAAAACAATCCTCTGACAAGAAGGATAATAGACAAATCACATAGTTTCTCCATTAATGGGGGAAATTGTTAAATTTTGGTCAAAAATTGTTTTCATTTAGCTGTCCATCTCCTTTATATTGGAGAAGCACAGCACTTTATGAAAGGGGACAGGTAAACAAGCTTGCCTTAATTACTAAAATAAAATAAAAAAAGGGGAGCATGCTATCCACACTTTTCTGGTGATTTCATATGTGAGGCACCAAAACTTTATTTGGACTGTCCTGATGGGGATACACTCCCAGTTGATAACAATTTGGGAGATTTCACCAGAAAAGAACAAGCCAGAAAGGACTATGCAACACAACTGGACCACTGTAGAGCCCCGTGTTGCCATTCATATGCAGCTAGAACATTTTGATTTCAACCACAAAATGCTTGCAGAAGGACTGCAGGGTTGGTTCAGACTAATTGTCTGACCTGATTCATTTGGGAGGCTTCTACCCGAACCCGTGCATTCTGGGCACTCCTGCATGGGAAGTCAGATGACTGTAATCAGCCAATCAGAAGAAAAATACCTGTCTACACTATTGATCTTCATGAACATCTGTTTATTCAAACTGTAATGTCATTCTCTGTCAAAACATGTTTCTCTTCCTGTGAACCTTTCTCCTCTCACTACGTTCATGTTGCACACATGAAGCAGTATTGCTTTTCAGCCTTTTCATGGGATTACTCACCCTCATGTTCAGTTTTGCTTAAAAAATTACACCTGCCTTGCACAACACGAGCTGAAAGGAGAGGTTTCTGGTGTAAATCTAGGTGGCTCCTTCTTTCAGTTTGTGGAAGCTGAGGATCTCTTTGTCCAGTGCTGACCCAGCTCATGTTGATGTGAACCTGTATAGCAGCTGGTTCATGAGCCTGAGTCCTGCCTTGTGCAAAGAGATGTAAGGTCAGAACCAGACCAAAGGAGCCTAATTTTAAAATCAGTGGGCTATCCACATTTATTTGATGTTGGTTAACATCAAATGTTACAACAGGTTATGTAACTAGTTTTGTAAGTTCTGCCATTTCAAGCCATTCTTTTAAACATATATATGTGTGTATATATATATGCATATGTGTGTGAGAGAATGTACAATTCTGTATGCTGGGCTAAGTCCTTCTGTCATACTGATACAAACCCAGACCATTTCTAGTAACTTCAAAGCATTTACTAACATTTTACCCTGGGATGAGAGGGAACAGATAGTCAGTGTGTAGTAAGTATATGCTGTGTTGCAAAGGAAATTAAAAATGTGGAGGTCAATTCCACAATATCAAAAAAGTGGAGCGCCCTGAAAACATAGCTCCAGTGCTGTTTATGCTGAATATAGTATATGGAGCACTAGGTATTAGCAGCTGAGTAGACTATTTGGTGATTTCAAGAGTTCAGTTAACACCATTTTAAACTTCTAAACTCCTTTTCAGTGAAGTAAAAGCTAATAGTGTATATGATGTATTTGCCATATCTCAGTGGTAGCTTCTGTGTTACATACAGTCAACATTGTTCTGAATCGTATATGTTTACCCAATGATGAGGTTAAAATATGCTGTATAGTATGTGCAATGTATTGATTACAAGTATGTTGGAGTTCAGTGATCTATTTAGTTCTTACTGTGCTGCTGTTTCGTAGGTATGTGTGTATATGGGAGTATGGATTGTCTACAATGTACAAGGAAATAATTAATCCTAAAGGAAAAGGGCAGTTATGTAACCTGCCTTAATGCATTCACATAATCTTGTTTAAGTCCCATAAGTACAAGTTCTGATTTCAGATGTTAGTGAGGATTGTCTGTAGGGCTGACTCCCTCACTTCTCTGCATTAAGGAGTTAAACTTGAAGTTACCTGGAGCTCACTTACATATTGAGAAATAAAAGAATAGCATGCTTGCACGACCTTGATTGTACATGCTGTCAACGATCTGGTTTCCTATGTGATACAGAGCAAATCACTTCTGTGCACACACAGCTCCTGTTGATGCCAGCAGGAATTGTGTTTAAGCAACTGAAGGGCCTAAAATTCCTCTTCTGGTATACAGTCATGATGCTGAGGTCGTGGTACCCTGGCTCTGTGGAATTGCCTGAATGCTATGCAATACTGCTCATGTCCCGTGTTGAAACGTAGCTCTAAGTTTGCAGTAAGAGTTCTGAACTCTGCTCCAACCCAGGTCGGATTGTATAAGTCCTTACATAAAAAGGATGAATGTCTGAGGCTGAGCAGCCTGGCCTGGCATGCCCACATACAGCATTCTGCTTTCAGGAGCCTTGGCAGCTTAAATTAAGAAGGTTCTAATAATTTCCTGGAGACTGGCAGGACCTACTACTCTTCTTGGGAAGGGGAATATAAATCTGTCCATTGCCCACAGGTATGACTCCCTTACCATTCCCACAGCTAGATCTAGCTCTCCTTTCATGTTTTCGTATGACGCATGCATCTGCTTGATGTTAAGGGTGGTGCTGAAAGACACGCAGAACAGGGAGGGAGTCTGTCTTGTGCTCCACTGGTTGGTCAGGAGAAGGCAGAGTGCTCTTGTTTGGTGTGAAGTCAGCTTCAGAAAGACCCACATACATGGTGACTGAGGGAAGGCAGAAGTCTGGCTGGAGACCCTCTTCTCTTATCTCTGTCTAGCTATAATGCAACATCTTCCCACTTCTCTTTGTCTCAGCTCAGCACTCCTTATGCACTTATGCATCCTCACCCCTGTAACCACCAGCTGTCAGCAGCGCTGTGCACTGAGTGTTACAGGTTTGCCATGCTGACGATGCCATCACATTCACACGTTCTTACAAAGTGTTGAGTGTGGGGTTAAGAGGTGGCAGCATCCCACATCTTGTGGTCTATCTCCGTACTCCAGGTGATGCACACATATCCACTTAGATGGACCTCACCTTGGCTGATAAGTCAGTTGTAAGCTTTCTCTCTCCAAAATAAAAACAGACTAGAAGATAAGCCAATGAGTACCTCCTAAGATGGGGATGCAGTTAGGCTTTTTTTCTGCAGTGGAATGACCAAGACTAGTCTCTTCCCTTGGTTTTGGGTCCTGCCAAAGTCAATTTGATCAGAAGAGATTCCTATAACAGGTGAAATGCTTGGCACTGGCAAAATGCACATCACTTTTGATGTGAAGCTGGGATCCTTAAAGCAGAATCCTGGGCTTTATGTGTAATTATCATTACTGAAAATAAGAATACACTTAAAAATACAACTTTAAAAGAAATAGCTGGGCGTGTCAGGACAGGTTAAGTTTTTTCCTGCCTCAGTCACGAGTATCTTTATGATCATGCAAGGTGATGATTAGGATGTTATTGCCACACTGCCTCCTGACGATGTTCAGGGTCTCTGTACAGAAGCCTTATTATTCCAAATGAGCATTAATGCATTTGAGAGACTTTCTCCATTTCTGTGGGAAGGATGAATGTGTAACACTGAGGACATGGAGCTCCCTGTGTGTTGTGCCCACAAAGGTTCACAGAGCTGCACCTTCTCTTTTTAGGATCTATTTAATGGTACTTTGATAAATGTTGTGTAAAAAATGCCTACAGTTCTGAATAGCAAATGTGAATTTTTATGAGACGAATGTGTATTTAATGTAAAAAATAAAAATAATAAAAAAAAATACTACTATAAAATCCAGTTTCTTTGTATCCTGTGAAACATCTAATAAAGCTCTGGTACCTGTATTCTTGGTTTATGGGTTCTTTGCTCCCTTCAAGATGTTACAAGTTGGAGGCTTCTTAAATGCTGTTTCTAAGGTGGGCTGAAGTCAGACACTGAGCTCGGCCTGTGCAACCATGGCAGAGGTGTGCATGGATGGACTGCCCCATGAGGGCACCACAGTGGGAGGACTGATTTCACCCTGTTCAGGGGTCCCAAACGGGGTCTGGTATGGGTTTGTGCCATGGGGACATGGCAGGCTCTCCAGCATCCTCGTAATGGGGTGTTGAGAGGCAGGAGACCTTTTCTCCATTAACACCAGTGACAGGACCCGCGGGAATGGGGTTAAGCTGAGGCAGGGGAAATTTAGGCTTGACATCAGGAGGGGGTTCTTCACAGAGAGGGTGGTTGCACACTGGAACAGGCTCCCCAGGGAAGTGGTCGCTGCACCAAGCCTGTCTGAATTTAAGAAGAGATTGGACTGTGCACTTAGTCACATGGTCTGAACTTTTGGGTAGACCTGTGCGGTGTCAAGAGTTGGACTTGATGATCCTTAAGGGTCCCTTCCAACTCAGGATATTCTATGAGTCTATGATCTCTCCCACCCAGCAGGGCTCTCCAGTTCAGGTATGCCTCAACCACCAAACCTGCAAATGTTCCTCCCACAGCCCCCTTGGGGAGGGTGCCAGCCACCAAGGCAAGCCCGGACATCCTGGAGGTGCAGGTGGAGCAGGCACTGCCTCATGCCTGGCTGCAGGTCGTTCCTGCCAGCAGGTGAGCTTCCTCCACTTCTCCTCGGTGACCCCTGTGGGGTTTGGGAACCTGCTCCATGGAGGGGGACTCAGGTGGCCCTGCACCAAGAGCTCCCTGTGCCCAGGAGCACAGAGAACGTGGCTGGGCTTTGTGATGTCCTGCTGTGGCGGCACTTTTTGTCCACTGTATTCTGCTGTTGCAATAGCTACTTTACCCCCCAAACAGGGTGTCTCTGTCCTGGCTTGTGCAGTGGTGTGATGGTACACAGAACACAGCCAGCTGAGATGCTGGTGCCTTTAAGGAGGCATTTGCAATGCTAAGTGAAGCAGGTATTTACTAAATGATTCCGATTCCAAAATGTAATTGTGCGTTGTGCCACTGGATGTGGGAAAAAAAATATAGAAAAGAAAAAGAAAAGAAAAATGGGCTACCTGTAGATGTTTTTAACATGATAAGCGAGTTCAATTAAAATGCAACTATTCTCTTGGAAGATCAATTTTAAATAGATTTTATGGAAATAAGCAGTATGTGGGCACAGTGCACAGTGTATGTGAAAAATAGGACCTCCACATTTTTGGCCTAGCTTCTTGCTTCTTAGTGACCTAGCTGCAGTTTCTTGCATTTTTTATTTATTTCTGTTTTTCTCGCAGCAACTTGGAGATTTCTGGGGAAAAAATAATTGCAACATAAGTGTATTGATTGAAATAAAAGTAACTTAAATAACTGGTCTTAACCAAGTGTAAATTTTCAAGTACAGGATACTGATTTGAACAGTGAATTTGTGTCTTGTTTTGCCTTTTTGGTCAATTTTTGATGACTGGTTAATCCTTATGTATAGCCAATAAGACCTGATTTAACAAGTGCAATAACACATTAGACTCAGTATGTCTTTGCTAAACAGGAAGCTAAGCTATGCATGAGTATAGTTAAGCTATGCATGAACAAGTTTCTTTTATACATGAATTTATTTATTTTTGAGGTGTTTTTTTTCATGTAGCCTCCTAATGATGACTACAATGAATTATCATTTATGAAGTCTGTATACCACCAATAAAATAAATAAAACAGTGCTAAATATGTTGGATACCAAGGAAATATGTATCAATACTGATATCTATGAAAAGTAATTAAAAAAAAAAAAAAAAGATAAGTTTTGTCTATAGTTACTGATTGAAATGTTATTTTTTAATAATTACCAGATTTTTTATTATTATTATTTTATTTTTTTTAGGGCCAAAAAGCCCCCCAAACTTGCATGTACATTTTGTTCATAGATTAGCAGAAAAGGGAAACTTTCTGGCTTTTAAGTCAGTTTAAGAAAGCTAATTATTGAATTAAAGTGAAGAGAAGAATGCTTACTGATTTGTGCTGCAGAGATCCCACAAGACAAAAAGAATTTGTCACTCCAGGAGGCTTTACTCCCAGGCACATAGCTGGGGGGCTCATTCATCTATGTTTCAGTGTTAGCAAAGTGCCAGTCATTTTACATTTACTAACTAGTAAATGTAAGCTTTAACTTGGATCAACATAGATCAGCACTTCTGTAGGTTTTTGTTTTTTAAAACTCTTTTTAAGGTTATCCTTTTTATTTTTAGAAGTCATTTGTGTTAGTGAAACTGGGGTACAACACTCTGTACAAGGCAGATGCATTTTCTTAGATGGGGTGGAATCTTAATGCTGCACAAAGCTTCCATTTCTCCTATAAAATGGTGTAAAGGGAAATCCATTTTTCATATAACCACTAGTAGCTAGCAAACTTGCCCAGGGCACCTGGACTAAAACCTGGAGCTCTTGGGAGACAGGGAGAATTTGGCTCCTGGGGCTGGCAAACCTGCAGAGGAATCCAATCAGCTTGAAGGGACCCCAACACAGGAATGAAGGGTATAGGGTGGTTCCCCATGGGACATCCCAGGGGGCTGTGCTTATAATGAAATGGGTTTTGGGGAAATATATTTTGGGGACAGTCAGTGAGAAGGTGGGAAAAACTAAGAGCAGGGGGAACTGCATCTGTAGGCTTTGCATGGGAAGGGGCTTGGTTTGCCTCTTGGTAAAATGCAACAGTAAATGCTGCAGGTGGTTGGTCTAGCTGGGAAATGCAGATATAAATGTGGTATCTATACATACATATCCTATTTTCTTGTTCCTTTGCAGTTTGAGATGTCACAAAATTGTCTTCCTTATTATCTAAACTATTGTCTGACCAAACCGCTTCCCATTGCTGAGTAGCTGAACTGTCACATTTCTGAAACTTCTAAACAGCTGATAATGAAATCTGTGTAATTTGCAAAGAAGAACTGGAAATCACAAGCCAATGTGCATTTCAGATATGTCCAGCACAAAGAGGCTGAGACAGACAGAATAGGCGTCACCTTGAAGTACTAAAGCCCGTGATGAGCCAGTTATGTGTCCTCTGGCTGTGCTCTTCTTGTAACGTAGGGAAAAAAAAAAAAAAGAAAAAAAAAAAAAAAAAAGAAGCCCATCTCTCTGCTCACGTTGAAATCCAGGAGAAAGGTGTGTTGTGTTATATCATCCCAGTGTGGGCTTAGCTGTGGCAAGCTGGGACAGGGGCTGATGGCTCTGGAGGGGCTGAGGTGGGGTCCTGGGCTCATGGGAGGTGTCACTGGGACATGAGCATGTCTGTCCATGTTGTTGGTATATAGAAATAATTGAATAAATAATCTTCACAGTAAAGTGAAGGATGCCCCTGTTATTTAAACACTTCACATAACACAAAATCTAAGCAGACTCCTTTTCCCTTGTCTGTTGGTACCTCACATATCTGCTACCCCATAAAATTCACCTCTGCTCTTCCTCCAGTTACAGCACTCAAATGCAGAAAGTGCAAGAAGTCAGAAAGAAAACAGTGTGATGGTTTCACTCTGCTGGGCAGCTGAACTACACCACAACTGCTCTCACACCCCCCCACCTTGAAGGGAAAGGGGGAGAAAATATGGAAATCATATTTCGGGTAGAGGAAAGGACAGGGAGATCACCCAACAACTATTGTCATGGACAAAACAGACTCTGCACAGGGAGATTAATGTAATTTATTGCCTATTACTAAAAAGATAGAGCAGTAAGAACTAAAAGTAAACCAAAACCACCTTCCTCCCACTCTCTTCCACCCTCCCCTACCTCCTTCCCCCGGGTGGCACAGGGAAACAGGCAATGGGGGCTGTGGTCAGTCTCTGACACTTCGTCTCCACCGCTCCTTCACGGTCACCCTCTGCCCCTGCTCCCCGTGGGGTCCCTCCCACGGGATGCCATCCTTCCCAAACTGAGCCTGCGGGGGCTGCCTACAGGCAGCAGCTCTTCAAGACCTGCCCCACATGGCTCCATACCACTGGGTCCATCCACCAGGAGCAAACTGCTCCAGCATGGGTCCCCCACAGATGGGCGGCAGCTCCCCCCAGACCCCCTGCTCCTGCGTGGGCTCCTCTCCACGGGCTGCAGCTCCGGCCCGGGGCCTGCTCCTGCGGGGGCTCTCCATGGGCCGCAGCCTCCTCCAGGCCACATCCACCTGCTCCAGCGGGGGCTCCTCCACCCATGGGGGGGCTGAAGCGTGGAGATCTGCTCCATGTGGGACCCATGGGCTGCAGGGGGACAGCCTGCTCCACCAGGGGCCTCTCCCTGCACAGGGCACAGAACTGCTGCTGTGTGCCTGGAGCACCTCCTGCCCTCCTGCTGCACTCACTTGGGGGTCTCTTCCAGGCTGGTTCTCACTCCTCACTCTCCCAGCTGCTGTTACACAGCATTTTATTTTTTTTCCCCTCTCTTCGATCTTTTCTCCCTGAGGCCCAACCTGTATCACTCGCTAGCTCAAATCTGGCCAGCAGCGGGTCGCTTAGTGGAGCTGGCTCTGACCTGACATGGGGCAGCTGCTGGGCTCTGCTCACAGAGGCCACCCCTGCAACTCCCCTACTACTGAAACCTTGCCATGTAAACCCAATGCAAGCATACTGGGTATACTTCTGCATGCTCAAGTCTTGTAATCGTAGAATGGCTTGGGTTGGAAGGGACCTTAAAGATCACCCACTTCTAACCTTCATGCCAAAGGCAGAGATGCCACCCACTAGATCAGGTTGGCCAAGGCCCCACCCAGCCTGACCTTGAACACCTCTAGGGATGGGGCAGACACAGCTTCTCTGGGCAGCCTGTGCCAATGCCTTACCAGCCTCCTAACATCTAAACTAAATCTACACTCTTTCAGTGTAAGACCATTCTCCCTCATCTTATCATTATCTACTTGAGTAAAGTCCCTCTCCATCCTTTT